ATAGTGGCTACGTAGATGGTGTCCTTCTATGCTGTCGGAGCATGTACCAGTGCCGTCCTGTGGTCTGTTGTGATTCCGCCCCAGACCATCACCTACCCATATCCCCGGTTAGGGATTTCATGTACACACCGGTCAGCCAACCTTTCATTTCGAAGGCGATATACCCGCACTCGACCATAATGATAGTAGCGACCTTGGACAAATCTAGACTCGTACGTGAAAAGGACCTGAGACGAATACCTGTGTGTGTGCTCACTGGTTGGTGTTGCGGGAGAGTTCTGGCTGTATACGAAACAGACTGGCATTTGTCCTTCAGGTGGGTGGTGCATATACCAATCCTGTGCCCGGGTGGTTACCCGCGGCCTCCCTGATCTTGGCCGGTCTCTGGTTCTTCCTGTGTTCATGTACCTGGTCTGCAGACTGTAGATGGTTTTCCCTGCTGCAGTTAAAAATCCTTGCAACATCCACCACGGGAACGCCTGCTTCAAGAAGCCCTTCAGCGCGCCCTCGCCCCTCTGCACTGAGGCGCGGCACGTTTGAAAGTCGACATTTTTCTAGATTTCTGAAGTTCGCAGTTCAAATGCAAACAATGTGTTCATAAACTTATTACACACCTTTTGTAGGTTTTGAAATAAGCTACACATTGATAGCAAAGACAAAACAGAAAACTCATGCTTAACAGAATAAAAAGTTTTTAAAAAAATCATACTAAACACAGAGAAGTGAGTGAACTCACTTAGTTGTGTTGTCAAAATTGATTCAGAAGACAGTAAAACCAACACACTGCACTGTACATAAATATCATCATTATCCGTTTTGATTTAATAGTATTATGTTCAAAGAAAATGTGTCAAGTTTCTTTTGGAAAAGAGTATACAAGGCTTCTATGAATGACATCACGAATGACAAGAACACAAAATTGCGTCGCTTAACCCTATCACTATCAGTATGCCCTGGGGTCATTTTGTACCCTCGGGGTTGTATTCTTCACATTTTTAATACTTCTAGTATGAAGATCTATTTGAAACTTTTAGTATTTCTCTAAAAATCATTTTGACAGACTGCTATGCAAAGCGTACGGATCGGATTAAAGGAGTAAATTTCCTCTTTGGAAAGTGGTGGCACAGAGTTCCCCACGTCGTATGGATACGATAGTAAAACACGACGTACATATAGCGTTATAGGCCAGAGTAGCTCTTTCAAGTGTTGTCAAAAAATACTTATTATTCAGTTCCATCACTCAATAATCAGAGACTGGGGGGTTGTTGGCTTAATTTATAACGTTTTTTTGAGCATTCAGACATTTCTTTAACTGAACAAAATTTTAATATGTGGATAATTTATTTTGGCTGTAATATTTATTTAGATATTTTGTGGGTTAGCCAGTTGCACCAAAATGATGAAGATATAAGGGAGCTGGATGTAAATTTTGAGACCTCCAAAGATCATTACCCCTATTAGGTTCCTTTAAAAATGAATTCTCTGATCTCGGTAGTATAATTTTATCCATAACGAGTCAGATACGACAGTTTTTCTACAAAACTTTGTATTGTGGATTGCAGTAAAGCAGTAGTTTCAAGCACAAGCAAAAGGCACGCAGATATTTTCTTGTGATTTCATATACGTCACGTACCGCGGGCTTTAAACACTATATAATATTTGGTGTGCCATTTTTCAACATTCAAAATTTGAATTTCGACAAAATTGGAAATAAAAAAGGCCGGCACTATTTCTCCGAACGTTCGGGAAAATAAAGCTGGGCACTATTTCTCCGAACGTTCGGGAAAATAAA